GGAAACATTATGCTTTGGGGGTGTTTTTCTGCTAAGGGGACAGGACAACTTCACCACATCAAAGGGACAATGGACGGGGCCATGTACCGTCAAATCTTGGGTGAGAACCTCCTTCCCTCAGCCAGGGATTTTAAAAATGGGTCGTGGATGGGTATTCCAGCACGACAATGACCCAAAACACACGGCCAAGGCAACAAAGGAGTGGCTCAAGAAGAAGCACATTAAGGTCCTGGAGTGGCCTAGCTAGTCTCCAGACCTTAATCCCATAGAAAATCTGTGGAGGGAGCTGAAAGTTCGAGTTGCCAAACGTCGGCCTCGAAACCTTAAAGACTTGGAGAAGATCTGCAAAGAGGAGTGGAACAAAATCCCTCCTGAGATGTGTGCAAACCTGGTGGCCAACTACAAGAAACGTCTGACCTCTGTGATTACCAACAAGGGTTTTGCCACCAAGTACTAAGTCATGTTTTGCAGAGGGGTCAAATACTTATTTCCCTCATTAAAATGCAAATCAATTTATAACATTTTTGACATGCGTTTTTCTGGATTTTTCTGTTGTTATTCTGTCTCTCACTGTTCAAATAAACCTACCATTAAAATTATAGACTGATCATGTCTTTGTCAGTGGTCAAACGTACAAAATCAGCAGGGGATCAAATACTTTTTTCCCTCACTGTATATATATATATATATATATATATATATATATACTGTTGAAGTCAGAAGTTTACATACACCTTAGCCAAATACATTTAAACTCAGTTTTTCACAATTCCTGACATTTAATCCTAGTAAAAATCCCTGTCTTAAGGTCAGTTAGGATCACCACTTTATTTTAAGAATGTGAAATGTCAGAATAATAGTAGAGAGAATTATTTATTTCAGCACATTCCCAGTGGGTCAGAAGTTTACATACACTCAATTAGTATTTGGTAGCATTGCCTTAAAATTGTTTAACTTGGGTCAAACATTTCGGGTAGCCTTCCACAAGCTTCCCACAATAAGTTGGGTGAATTTTGGCCCATTCCTCCTGACACAGCTGGTGTAACTAAGTCAGGTTTGTAGGCCTCCTTGCTCGTACACGCTTTTTCAGTTCTGCCCACAAATGTTCTATAGGATTGAGGTCAGGGCTTTGTGATGGCCATTCCAATACCTTGACTTTGTTGTCCTTAAGCCATTTTGCCACAAATTTGGAAGTATGCTTGGGGTAATTGTCCATTTGGAAGACCCATTTGCGACCAAGCTTTAACTTCCTGACTGATGTCTTGAGATGTTGCTTCAATATATCCACATAATTTTCCTTCCTCATGATGCCATGTATTTTGTGTGCACCAGTCCCTCCTGCAGCAAAGCACCCCAACAGCATGATGCTTCCACCCCCGTGCTTCACGGTTGGGATGGTGATCTCCGGCTTGCAAGATCCCACTTTTTCCTCCAAACATAACGATGGTCATTATGGCCAAACAGTTCTATTTTTGTTTCATCAGACCAGAGGACATTTCTCCAAAAAGTACAATCTTTGTCCCCATGTGCAGTTGCAAACCGTAGTCTGGCTTTTTTTATGGCGGTTTTGGAGCAGTGGCTTCTTCATTGCTGAGCGGCATTCAGGTTATGTCAATATAGGACTAGTTTTACTGTGGATATAGATACTTTTGTACCTGTTTCCTCCAGCATCTTCACAATGTCCTTTGCTGTTGTTCTGGGATTGATTTGCACTTTTCGCACCAAAGTACGTTAATCTCTAGGAGACAGAACGCGTCTCCTTCCTGAGCGGTATGACGGCTGTGTGGTCCCATGGTGTTTATACTTGCGTACTATTGTTTGTACAGATGAACGTGGTACCTTCAGGCGTTTGGAAATTGCTCCTAAGGATGAACCAGACTTGTGGAGGTCTACAACTTTTTTTCTGAGGTCTTGGCTGATTTATTTTGATTTTCCCATGATGTCAAGGTAGGCCTTGAAATACATCCACAGGTACACCTCCAATTGACTCAAATGATGTCAATTAGCCTATCAGAAGCTTCTAAAGCCATGACATCATTTTCTGGAATTTTCCAAGCTGTTTAAAGGCACAGTCAACTTAGTGTATGTACACTTCTGACCCACTGGAATTGTGATACAGTGAATTATAAGTTAAATAAACTGTTGGAAAAATTACTTGTGTCAGGCACAAAGTAGATGTCCTAACCGACTTGCCAAAACTATATTTTGTTAACAGTATGAAAAATGTATTCACTCACTAACTATAAGTCGCTCTGGATAAGAGCGTCTGCTAAATGACTAAAATGTAAAATGTTAACAAGAAATGTGTGGAGTGGTTGAAAAACGAGTTTTAATGACTTTAATAACTTCCGACTTCAACTGTGATTATAGAGAGAGAGAGAGAGAGAGAGAGAGAGAGAGAGAGAGAGAGAGAGGAGAGAGAGGAGAGAGAGGAGAGAAGAGAGAGAGATGTGTGTGTGTGCCAGCTGAGAGGCATGAGGCCCCCCAATAGCAGCAGGTGGAAATGTCAGGGTAACAGTGTGAATGCAACCTGGCAGCAGGCAGACTTCTATGGAGAGCTGGGGTCTTGGTCAGCCTCTATTTTGGGCCCTGACATGGATAGCTAGTGCTTCTGTTTATCATTCCACAATGCTTAAGTGACAAAGGCAGTAGATGTTTTGCTGACATACACAATATGCCACTTGACCCCTGACCCAGATTACCGTAGAGAGGACATTAATTGGGGAAAGATACAGTTATCATCATGCTATAAATGGGCTCAAGACATGTTGATTAATTACTAGTCAAATAGTGGATCAACTCACTAAAACTCTATCCCAAATGCCATAACTGTCTTATCATGTACTTTGTACTGTGTGAAATGTAATGTGTAATTTGCCTGGCCTTGCATTCCACTGTTGCAAAATATAATAAATAACCAATAGCTACAGTGAGCAAATTAGTGTGAAACACAACAAATGGGAACTGTTTAAGATTAACCATAATGAGTTGAAGCTGGTGGTATTTTGTCCAGTTAGTAGGACACTAGCAGACTAAACTCCACGGTGAAGTTCATCATAAACTTCCTTCACTATGGAGTGGTCTGTTTGTAGGATACAGGTATATGTCAAAACTATGGGTAGGCTATGCATGTTGTTAGTGCTTTTGACAGATGACCTTTCGCTGATTACTGTTATTGCAAAGATTTATTGACAATAACATAACAATTTTTCCACCTGGTTGTCGTGATACGTTGAACGAGACGCCATTTCAAACACATCTTTTGTAGGACAGACAGAATACTTTGTGACAACAGTTTAGAAACGTTACTTAGTGCTCACCGAATTCGTTGTTTTCCTCATGTTCACTCTGTTGTTCAACTCTCATGGCAGAAAAGGCCGAATGTCTTGTTTATTTCCTCCAAATGCCTACAGCCCTCCTTCGGATTCAAAAAAGTCAATCTCTCAAACACCCATTCACAAGCAGAGCTGAGTAGAGGGTAATTCGCCTGTCCAAAAAACGGGCGCGCCCAACCAACGTGGGTGCACGCGGTTGCGTCAATGGACATGGGCAAATAACCTTTAGGCAAATTATTGATATATCATTACAAGGATAAAGAAACGTTAGCCTAAAATGTTTTTTTTAAATATGTGCACCTATAGGCAAGGGGGGATTTCTTCCAAGGAATATGTAGTTGAAGCTAATTTACTGCATTTCTACTCAATTTAAAAACTCTAAAATGCTATTTGGAGAACAGCAAAAACAAGAAAAAATTACCCCAGACATTATCACCTTGGCTGCTGTTGCTTCATTCACCTCAGTCGATAAGGGACATAACATTCTATAAACACTTCATACAGCAATTCATTAGCTGCTACACACTAGCTCAGCAAGGGGATTAAAAAATATACTTTAATAAATCAATCGGCAGTTATGTACGTAGCCATCTTCCACCTCTGCAGTGCCTCAATACCAAAGGAGTGGGACTGCCTCACTCCTTTAAAAAAAAGTATCATCTTACCATGCTAATAGAAAATCAATACAGATGCCACTCAAACTTTCCCACACAGGTCCATTTACTGTTGACAGCGAGTAAAGAAGAGACATCTTAAACTATCCAGAATACATTTCAGAAGGAAAATAAACAACAGAAAGAAAGAAAGAAAAATGACTTTGAAGATCATCTGACATTACAGTCTTTTGAAGGGGAGATTCAGGTGTATAAAACAGATCGGGGATCTGCAACTGGTTGCTCAACATGATATATATCTTCTGGCTCCTACTAAGCTCAGGTAAGATTCACTCACACAGTTTTTCTCTTCTACAATCAGTTTTGGATTAAATATCCATAAATAGTCAGTGCTATTAGGAATTGTCTACATAAAACAAGCAACTTTACATTTCAAGATGATTGACATGTTAATGAGACAGTGGGCCTAGTAACGGTTTTCAAAGACATTATTCCAATGTCTTTATTATAATGCTGTTTGTTATTTTATTGCAAATGTATGACTTAATGGAACCCTTCAGTGAGCTTCCTATCCTGTAAATCCAAATATATGATAACAGGAAGTCCATCCATTTGAATCTCAGGGTTTTAACGAACTCTGAAACCAGGGTTGCAAAATTCAGATAATTTCCCCCAAATTCCCAGGTTTTCCAGAAATCCCGGTTGGAAGATTCCTAGATTTCCTGTTTATTCCTTCCAGATTCCAGGAATATTCCAACTGGGATTTCTGGAAAACCTGGGAATTTTGGGAAAGTTACCGGAATTTTGCAACCCCAATCTGAAACAGACAATTCTTTGTCATGTGTGACATAAATCAAGAATATCAGGCAATGTCCTGTCACTTTCTTATTACAAATAAAATAATGCATGGATGGTAAAATATTTGTAATTGAATGATAGTATGTTTCTTCATTATGTTTAATATCTATGTTTTTCATTCTTAGTAATGGAGTTAACCATTGTGGAGACATAGCCATTGAATTAAAACATTTACATATTTGACACAATAATCATGTTGAGAATAGATGAATACCGTAAATTATCAGGTAGATTACTGTCATACGCAAGATGGACTGGGCTTGCATTTTATTTGCCATAGAAATAGGGTTGCACAATTTAGTTAACTTTCCCAGGTTTTCCAGAAATCCCAGTTGGAAGATTCCTGGAAATGGGAGGGAATAAGCAGGAAATTCGGAATGCTCCAACCGGGATTTCTGGAAAGCCTGGGAATTTTGGAAAAGTTACAGAACATTTTGTAACCCTATATATCAATGAGTTGAATTTCATATGATTGATTTACTACTTGACTTCCATTCAGCCCCTCTGGCTGAACTGGTAGCAGATAAACCCAAGAGGTCTGCTCTGAACCAGCTCACCAGGACCCTCCTGCGTAAATACGACTGTGGAGTGAGACCTGTTCAGAACTGGACCAGACCCACGCTCATCCACATAGACCTCATACTGCAGTCGGTCCTTGATGTGGTAAAGAAGAACAACAGTATACGGCCTTATCTAAATCATTCATTATTTTAATATAAAATATACTGTAATACGATTACCTGCCATGCTTCTGGTAATATGTAACACAGGAAATGAAAACATTGTTGATGTTGTTGCTCAAAATTATAGATTTTTATTTTTGTATGAAATATGAATCTTGTTTCAGTAAATACATTTTGACCATTTGTATCTACACATTTCAATAGTCTGCCCAAACAATTTACACACAAAAATATACAAAAAATCTACTTTTTACAGGATGGAAAGACCCAGCAAGTAACCACAAGCATTTGGTACAGGCAGGTTGGTATGAATTGTCTCTTCTATTAGTGTTAAACATAGTCCCAAACTGTTTTGCTTGTCAGCAATCAAGTTTACAAGATACTGTATGTAACTTTCAAAATACAGAAATCATCCTCGTATGATGCATTTTGCATCATGCAAAATGCATCATACAGGGATGATTTCTGTATTTTGAAAGTTACATATCTTGAAAACTTGATTGCTGACAAGCAAAACAGTTTGGGACTAATGGACTAATGAAACAAATACCAAAATATAGTTTTTGGGTGGAATTTTCCTTTAAGGACTGGGGAGTTTTTCAGGATAAAAAAGAAACAGAATGGAGCTAAACACAGGCAGAATCCTAGAGGAAAACCTGGTCCACTCTGCTTTCCACAAGACACAGAGATGAATTCACCTTTCAGCAGGACAATAAACTAAACACAAGGCCAAATCTACACTGGAGTTGCTTACCAAGAAGACAGTGAATGTTCTTGAGTGGCTGAGTTACAGTTTTGACTTAAATCTGATTGAAAATACAGCGCATTCGGAAAGTATTCAGACCCCTACCCTATTCCCACATTTTGTTACATTACAGCCTTATTCTAAAATTAATAAAATAAAATAAAATCCTCATCAATCTACACACAATACCCCATAATGACACAGCTAAATGTGATATTTACGTTTTGTATTTTGAATACATTTGCAAAAATTTCTAAAAACCTGTTTTTGCTTTGTCATTATGGGGTATTGTGTGTAGATGAGGGGGAAAAAAACAATTGAATCAATTTTAGAATAAGGCTGTAACGTAAAAATTCAAGGGGTCTGAATACTTTCCGAATGCACTGCATATGGCAAAACTTGAAAATGGTTGTCTAGCAATGATCAACAACCAATTTAACCAGAGCTTGAAGAATTCTGAAAACAATAATGGGCAAATATTGTACAATCCAAGTGTGCAAAGCTCTTAGAGAAAAAAAAACTCACTGCTGTAATCGCTGCCAAAGGTGATTCTAACATGTATTGACTCAGGGGGTGTGAATACTTATGTAAAAGAGATATTTCTGTATTTTATTTTTTAATACATTTGCAAACATTTCTCAAATGTCTTTGTCATTATGGGGTATTGTGTGTAGATGGGTGAGAGAAAAAAAATCAATTTAACCAATTTTGAATTCAGGCTGTAACACAACAAAATGTGGAATAAGTCAAGGGGTATGAATACTTTCTGAAGGCACTGTATAACATGTCTGTCTACAAATGCAACTTCAACCTTGTCTGGCATGCAACAATTGCGTTATTGAAAGCCAAAACAGTCATGCACCCATCTGTCATGTACTTCAAATGTGGTCCTCTGTAGCTCAGCTGGTAGAGCACGGCGCTTGTAATGCCAAGGTAGTGGGTTCGATCCCCGGGACCACCCATACACAAAAAAAATAAAAAAATGTATGCACGCATGACTGTAAATCGCTTTGGATAAAAGCGTCTGCTAAATGGCATATTATTATATGAATGGTCTTGTGATGCATTTTCCATTTATTTCCTGTTTGTGATGTCAGATCTGGACCGATGAGTTCCTGGTGTGGGACCCCGAGGAGTTTGACGGGATCACTGAGATCTCCCTGTCCTCTGACGCTATATGGGTGCCCGATCTCATCATCAGTGAATTGTAAGAATTGACACCGTATGTATTCCTGTTCAAATTACATAACATGTCATTGGATTACTCAATACCCTCACATTACTCAATACCCTCAGACTCTTCACAGAAATGTTAAATATTTGGCCTTTTACTTTAAAATGACAGACTGACAAAGAAGTGTGCTGACCGTAACGGTCAGTGTCTCATGTTCAACATACTGTAAGCAGCTGGAACTCCCATCTAACCCATAAGTCTGTGGTCTTCCCCCTGTTAGTGTGGATGTAGGGGAGTCCCCTGCCATCCCCTATGTGTATGTCAACTCGTCGGGGATGGTGAAGAACAACAAACCCATTCAGGTGGTGTCTGCATGTGACCTGGAGCTGTACGCCTTCCCCTTCGATAAGCAGAACTGCACTCTGACCTTCCGCAGCTGGCTTCACTCAGGTTAGCCTAGAGAGATGTAAACATGCTAACGTTACTACCCAGTCAAATGACTACATTTACATTGACATTTTAGTCATTTAGCAGATGCTCTTATCCAGATCGACTTACAGTTAGTGAGTGCATACATTTTCATCCAGACTACACATCTGGATCTGCACAGATGGATGACGTGGCAGTAACACACAATTAGAAGTGCAAAATAACAATGCCATATCTTTCCATAGACAATATACATGCATTTGGCTATCACACATACAGTATTTAGTAAATTACAGTAGTTAGTCATTTAATATAGTATCAAATCAATAGCAGGTCATATTGACTGAGTGTCATTAAGGCTTAATAAACTCTGTCCCTTGACCTTTACCATCGTGTATGCAGTGAGTGAGGTGAACCTGACTCTGTGGAGGAGTGCGGAGGAGATCGCCAATGATCAGAAGTCGTTTATGGACGATGGCGAGTGGGAGCTGTTGTCTGTGCCCTCCCGCTACTGGCAGCTTCGCCTGGACAACAGAGACTATGCCCACATCCAGTTCAATGTGTGTGCCTACTGTTTACCAGATATCTCTTTGTTTCCCTTTAGATACTTGATTTGAAGGAAGGTAATTTTGAAGGAATACAAATATGACCTATATGTCTACTGCCATCTTTATCCACTTATACAGCAATGCATATCCAGTCAGTCAGTAAATATGGAATATGTGAATAGGTGTGATAGTGGGATTTTCTATATGGTTTGATGTCGATGCAACAAAAAAGTACACACTTCTCTTGTAGGGAGAATGTGACTGTACAATGACAACTAAAGCAGATTGAGTATCGACAGTAGTTTTTTAGCCATCCCCTCCTCCTGGTCCTCCTGCTGTGAGGAAGTTAAAGGGATCAGCCAGTACTTCACGGACGGGATTAAGCGCTAATGCTAATAGATGAGGCTGAGGCGCGTCCAGCATGCTGAGAGAGAGAGGCACAATAATGAGGCTGTCTCTGTGGCGGCTGATCAATGGCCACCTTGTTCTGCCGGAAAAATGGGCTCTGGGCCCAGCGCAGGTGGGTCTGCAAGGATAGGCAGGGCTGCTGTTCTACATTCAGCTCAGGAGGGCACTTAATGATGGAGTGTCTATCCAGCAGGGCTCGTTGGGTTACCTTTACACTATGGATCATTGTAAAAGCGGTTGTTGATGGGATTTGTGTGTTTTTGGGCACTGGAGGAGAATAGGAGGATAATACTATGGAATAGGGTTTTCTTGTGGGTTCAGTTGAGGAAAGTGAGTTCATATTAATCAAAGTCAAACTCTCTCTTTCTGTCTCTCTCACTTTCCCTCTCTCTCTTTCCCACGCTCTCTCTCCATCTTGCTCTCTCACTCCCCCACTGGTCAGGTGTTGATCCGCCGGCGCCCCCTGCTGTACGTGGTGAGTCTGCTCATTCCCAGCATCTTCCTCATGCTGGTGGACATCATCAGCTTCTACCTGCCGCCCAACAGTGGCACGCGCATCACCTTTAAGACCAGCATCCTCCTAGGCTATACTGTTTTCAGAGTCAACCTGATGAACGAGATGCCTGCCACCACCATCAGAACACCACTCATAGGTATCCTACATCAGCTCCTTTCCTCATCTTTGTTTTGAACTTTCTCTAATATTGTTTGACACACTAAGCATGCCATTCATACCCAGCCATGGCCAATGCTTTGTGAAATGTGTTGAGACATATTTATGAAGACATAATGAAGATGTGTCCTTTTCTAACAGGTGTTGTTGATGTTTGGTGTCCTCCATCCTACAGGTGCGTTCTTTGCGGTGTGCATGGCGCTGCTGGTGCTGAATCTATCCATCTCCATCTTCGTGGTGAAGCTCCTCCACCACAACGAGAAGGAGGTCAAGGAGATGTCAGTGTCCGCCTGCCTCCTCGACAAGTACGGCTCGTCCAGCCAGACCTTCCTCGAGAGCAACTTCACCTCTGTCAAAACACTGGTTGACGTGGATCAGTGTGGGGGTGAGAGGGGGGCTGTGTTGTTGAGAAGCTTTGTATTTCTAGGTCATAGGACATGAGAGTGACTAGGTATGAGAAACAAAAGCTTAGCTGGTGGTTGTTTTCCTAACTTACCACCAATTTATTTACCTCAGATTTCTTATTCTCTTTAATTTGTAATGGCCAGCTCTGACATGTTTACATGTTGACAACATCTCTATCTTCCTCTGTGTTAACATCAAATCAATCATAAAGATGAAACACCTTTACAGTATGTCTACACATACACCTAATCACTTACCTTGATAAGATGTAGCAACAAAATATATTATCTTTGGACATTCATTTGTCCAACCACATCATCACCCCACAGTTCATGTTGTCCCTCCAGGCTATGAGTTTGACCTGGCTCCAGAGGAGGACCTGCTGTCCCTGAGCGAGCCCCAGGAGAGTGCTCCACGGCTGGAGAGGCTGCTCCAGGAGGTGGTGGCCCTGCGGCTCTACCTGCAGGAGGGGGAGAGTGACGATTCTGCCCAGGCTGACTGGGTGGCCCTGTGCTGCAAGGTGGACCTCCTCCTGTTCCGAGTCTACCTGCTTATCCTGGTCGTCTACACCAGCACTCTGCTGCTACTGTGGGCCAGCTGGAGCTCTGCATGAGGAGTGAAGAGGAATTGTTGTTCAAATGTTATTGGCATGAGGAGAAAAAAGTATTTATTTTGCTGTAATCAAATGTTAAAAGTCTGTTAAGGGTTATTGATGTGGGCGACGCAATCCCTTTTCTCTCTCTTTCTTTTGATACTGTAGCTAGAAGCTATTGAGTGAACACTGTATCCCCATGTACAATTGGAAGATGGTCCCCGTAAATCAATATGGGCTGATTAACATATTCCTTCTGATGTGTTTCTTCAACTGAAGATCTTCATAAAAATATATCTTACTCCTATTCTCCGGGCACATTCCGTAACATCAATGTGATGTTATTCTACATTAACTTGAATCACCATGCTCCCCTGAAACTTGTACCAAATCAATAAAGCACATTCAAAGCCTAGCTTAGGCAACTGAATTCCCTGTTGGCTCACTGATAGTCATAAAAAAGATACATGAGCTACTCATAAAACCTTTGGCTGGGAACAATCTTTGTAAATATAATTTTCACTTGAACAGCAGACATTCTTTGAGCAGATCACATTACAACCGGTTGTATGGCCACCTCTGACTTGAGGAGAGAAATGAATAGTGGTTATTGTTCGCTGTAATGTTATGTTGTACATTCATATTTGTGATGTAACTTCTTATTCCCCATCATATCAAGCAAGTCGTGTTGCACGTTTTTTTAACATCAACTGTGGCTCTTGGTTTGATTGTGTATCCTGTTTTTAGCTAGTGTTATACAGGGATATAGATGTTGTGGAATCTTATCAAAGCCTCCAGCCAGTACAGTGAGTAAAAGGTTATATCCACGAAAATGGCTGATTTGCTCTTAATACACCTGTATGCTTCTAACATAGCCTGCATTGTTAATCCTTAATAAAAAAGAGACTACATATTTTCAAGTGTTTTTGTGTGTGTCATAAATGGACATGATTTTTCAATAGTCTTATCTCGTCCAATCACATAATAAAAGTCATAAATTCAATGTTATTGTAGATTTCAGTACATATTTCCCCTAATAAAAAGGATGAGCTGGCGCACACCCAGAGAAAATTATTGAGTATAATGTCATTACCCTGAAGAAGGTACAGTGATGCCGAAACATTGGTGTTTTACCCAGAGTTTATATATATATGTATACTACCAGTCAAAAGTTTTATAACACCTACTCATTCAAGGGTTTTTCTTTATTTTTTTAAAAACTATTTTCTATATTGTAGAATAATAGTGAAGACATCAAAACTATGAAATAACACATATGGAATCATGTAGTAAACAAAAAAGTGTTAAACAAATCAAAATATATTTTGTAAGGGCTATTTTACCAAGAAGGAGAGTGATGGAGTGCTGCATCAGATGACTTGGCCTCCACAATCCCCCGACCTCAACCAAATTGAGATGGTTTGGGATGAGTCGGACCGCAGAGTGAAGGAAAAGCAGCCAACAAGTGCTCAGCATATGTGGGAACTCCTTCAAGACTGTTGGAAAAGCATTCCAGGTGAAGCTGGTTGAGAGAATGCCAAGAGTGTGCAAAGCTGTCATCAAGGCAAAGGGTGGCTATTTGAAGAATCTCAAATAGAAAATATATTTTGATTTGTTTAACACTTTTTTGTTTGCTACATGATTCTATATGTGTTATTTCGTAGTTTTGATGTCTTCACTATTATTCTACAATGTAGAAAATAGTAAAAATAAAGAAAAACCCTTTAATGAGTAGGTGTTCTAAAACTTTTGACAGGTAGTGTATATAGTGTGTGACTCTCTTTATTTATTTTTGATAGCTTACAGTACATATTTCCCCAACATACACAGTTTAAGATATCAACTGATTGAAATGATAGGCTAACTTAATGAACAAAATAATATCTAAGATCAGTATCAAATGTCCGTTTGATCTTGTTAGTGAGAGAGGAGAAGACCAATCTGCACTTGAACTCCCATACGCCAATGTTGAAAACCAAGCTCAAGAGAAAATAGGCCTATGCTCATCTTTATGTTCAGGACATCAATTTCTTAATGCAGTTGTAGGCTACATACAACTAGATCATAAACTTGGCCTACATCATACTGTGTTTGGAATTTTATAGAGATAAATCATTTTCACACAGTATTGAAGACATTGAGTATTCAGTTGGAGGAAAAATGCCAAAATCCCACATGAAACTTGATCCAGACAGAGACATCTGGCTACACGATCAGATACTGTAAATAGTATGATTGCTCTGAGTTATCTACTCAGGGCAGGTGATGACATAACCTCCACTGCTTCCAATCCCCATCATCAAATTCCCGATGGACACACCCTCATATTCATAGTTACATCAGCTGGCTAAACCAGCCTCATCCAGAATGCAGGAAACATAATTTCACTAATATATGATACAGTAGACATTAGGCTACAGTCGAAAATCCTGAATATGGGTCTCGGGCGGCGCCAGTTGACCGCTGTATCTCAAAGCTGAGTGTTGCTCATTATTGCCAAGCTTAAGGCGGAGAAGTGAAACTTTGTGCACAATGAGAGTTTCAGCACTCTGGACAGCGCTGGTCTTGCTTCTGATACAAGGCACCGCGCGAGCCTGCACAGGTAAATAATTCCAGATAGCCTATAGAATATAGCAAACGCCACAGCCTAACGCTAGATTTAAAAATGATAATTTTATAACCCTCAAGATGTTGCATTTTAGTGGATAGCATTATGTTGAATCAGTATGTTGTAACAATGTGTTTGACCTGTTTTAGTCAAAAAACTGAGCAATAATACCGGACGCTTTGCCAATGCCACCTTGGTACGTCTCTCCGAGTACTTGAGTGCTGGGTACAAGAAGGGTGTGCGACCCGTGCGCAACTGGCGAAATTGCACAATGGTGGCCATCGACCTTATGGTGTACTCTATCCTCAGTGTGGTATGTAGTAGAAATCACATAGTAGAAGAGTTTAGTATACTGAGATAATAGTGTGTAGCATATGTTGATCTTCACTATTTCCTCTGTATGCTGTGTGTTACAACAGGATGAGAAGAACCAGGTTCTGACAACATATGTATGGTACAGGCAGGTAAGACATAACTATTTGTACTAGTAAAATAACTATTTAAACAACTAATTGATTTTGTTGAAAAAAAGTTTCCAAGCATTTAAAACATTCATAAAACTTGGAAAAACTACAGTAGAACATTGTATATCCCTCCCCTTTGGACATTTATCAAACATCATATCAGAGGAACTAGTTATACGCCTTTATACAATACCTATTATTAATTGAATAATTCATTATTAATGCTAGACCATGCTTATTGCGCTTATGCTATAACTCTGTATCAGGAACTTATGCTATATGTCTGTATCAGGAATGGACAGATGAATTCTTGGTATGGAACCCAGAGGACTTTGATGATGTGAATCAAATGTCCATACCGACTGCGAATGTGTGGGTGCCTGACATACTAATTAACGAGTTGTAAGTAGCCTACAGTGTTTCGTTGTTGTGGGGGTAGGCCAATGCATTTGAGGCCATACAGATAACCTCATTTTAGTCAAATAAAATTATTCATAAAATAGTATAATTTATCTGCAAATGTAAACTGACAAAATTGGATACTTTGATAAAGCATTACTAAAGTCAAGTGTAAAGGCAAGTGTAAAGTTAGCGTTAGCCTACGCTAAAATATTAGTTGTCCGAATCAGCTACAAACATATTTATCGCATATCTTTGCTTTGAGTTGTTGTGTTTCGTAATCTCTCAGTGTGGATGTCGGGAAGTCTCCTGACATTCCCTATGTGTACGTGACCCATTATGGACTGGTGCGCAACTACAAGCCTATCCAGGTGGTGACTGCCTGCACTCTCAACATCTACAACTTCCCCTTCGACGTCCAGAACTGCAGCCTGACCTTTCAGAGCTGGCTCCATACCCGTAAGACATGTCTTATTTAGTTGTATAGTCATTTGCATGTGGGGTAAGGCTTTTCAACTGCAAATATAGCAGTGGTGGAAAAAGTACCCAATTGTCATACTTGAGTAAAAGTAAAGATATCTTAATAGAAAATGACTCAAGTAAAAGTGAATGTCACCCAGTAAAATACTACTTGATTAAAATACAAAGTATTTGGTTTTAAATATACTTAAGTATCAAAAGTAAAAGTATATATCATTTCAAATTCCTTATATTAAGCAAACCAGACAGCACAATGTTCTTGTTTTTTAAATGTACATATAGCAAGGGGCACACTCCAACACTTTTGGGTGTCAGGGAAATGTATGGAGTAAAAAGTACATTATTTTCTTTAGGAATGTAGTGAAGTAAAAGTAAAAGTCAAAAATGCAAATAGTAAAGTACAGATACCCCAAAAACTACTTAAGTAGTACTTTAACATATTTTTACTTAAGCACTGTACACCACTGCACATAAGTACCGGGTAAGAATGCCCTTTCATGCCCTCACTCAGTCTTAGTCCTCTATTGTTTTGTTACTTCCGTCTTGATAGTTTCTGGAATTAGAAAATGCAGATGTAATTTGTGTTCTACTTTTGTTTCAAAATAACCTCAATACAAATGTATTCTATGCCATCAGTGCCAGATGCTACACACCATTTTCACCCCGCTAAAAAACAAATAAATTATCTGTGGCAGAGTACAGTTGATAATGGTCATTTACATAATTTACATTGATCTGAACCCACTGATCTCTGTTTCCTCCGTGTCTGTAGTTAATGACATCGATCTCAAGCTGATGAGGAGCGCAGAGGAACTCAAAGTGGATAAGAGTGTCTTCATGAACCAGGGGGAGTGGGAGCTGCTACACGTCCTGTCCAAATATAAACGCTTCAGTCTGGACAACATTGACTCCTATGCAGAGATGAAGTTCAATGTGAGTATGCATAACATAATCATTAATTACTTTTTATTTATGTATTCAGGACAGGTTATGGAAAGATATCATTTGGCAATGACTGACCTAGTCAAGTAGAAGAATGGTTAGGTTTTCAAAATTCTGGTTGCAAAAAATGTTCCCAAAATTCCCAGGTTTTCCAGAAATCCTGTTTTTTGTGCTTATTCCCTCCTGATTCCAGGAATCTTCCAATCAGGATTTCTGGGAATTTGGGGAAAGTTAACGGAATTTTGCAACCCTATGCATGATGATTAAGTAAATGGCAATAGTTAAAAGAGCACAATAATGGGTTGGCGAAGATCACCACATCAATTTACATCTACACCTGTTAAAATGATATGCAGTATGGTAGACTTTTCAATTACTGTATACAATCATGTCCAATTCAATCATTGAAAACCCCCTCAACACCTCTGTGCATGTACACAATACCTTAGCTTAATTCATTTATTCAAAGCCAACTGAACCTGACAGAAAGGCAAGACCTTCAGTAAGAAGATATACTAGTGGTCCTCTGTAGCTCAATTGGTAGAGCATGGCGCTTGTAACGCCAGGGTAGTGGGTTCGATCCCCGGGACCACCTATACGTAAAAATGTATGCACACATGACTGTAAGTCGCTTTGGATAAAAGCGTCTGCTAAATGGCATATTATTATTATAATATATCAAATATAGAAATATATGAAGATATAAGATCTTTACTTTGACCTGCACTGCAAGGCTTTATTAGAACCCATTACGTCTTGAGCTACATTAAATATGTATTGAGAATGGCTGTTTTTCTTATGCGTCACACAAATAAAAAAAATCTGAAAATTAACAAACGTATATGAGTGAGGATCTATAGGTCAAAGTGTGATAGAGAGTGCACTCCCACCTCACTTTCAGGGTCATTGCTAGAATCTGTGGGTATATTGTTGTCTACCATCAAAACCTTGTTCTGCCAGATATCTGTAACTACTATAGATGTGGAAGTGCGTACCTACCTATTCATGACTAATTGCTGTTAATTACTGCTCTATTCATGATGATCTTCATGATGAACGTCATCAGGTGGTGATCCGACGCAGACCTCTGTTCTACACTGTGAACCTGCTGCTGCCAAGCATCTTCCTGATGGTGATGGACCTGGTGGGCTTCTACCTCCCTCCAGATAGTGGAGAGAGGGTGTCCTTCAAGATCACCCTGCTTCTGGGCTACTCCGTCTTCCTCATCATCGTCTCTGACACACTGCCCGCCACCGCCATCGGCACGCCGCTCATAGGTCAGATAGAGAAATGCACAGTGGTGGACAAAGGACCCAATTGTCATACTTGAGTAAAAGCAAAGATGTCTTAAAGGCCCAGTGCAGTCAAAAACATGATTTTCTTGTGTTTTATATATATTTCCACACTATGTGGTTGGAATAAAACTGTGCAATTGTGAAAATTATGATAATGTCCTTTTAGTGTAAGAGCTGTTTGAAAAGCCTGAAATGTCAGCCTGTTTTGGTGGGAGGACATTTTGGCCTTCCATGGTGATATCACCATGCGGTGAATTAGTTAATCGACCAATAAGAGAGAGTTCCAAACCTCTCTGCCAATAACAGCTAATTTTCTGTTTTCCCCTCCCCACTCAAACCACTCCCAGACAGTCCTAGCAAAATTCTCGCTTGAAAAATTGCTCTTAGCTAAGAAGCTATTTTTGTTTCTTTTTGACCATTTTAATTGAAAACAATCACAGTAGCTAGGTTTCCATCCAATTGGCGACCGACTTTCATGCAAATATTTAAAAATCCACATAAAGAAAATATGCAAATTTTCCCGCCAGTGGTGTTTCCGCCAAACCAACTTGTTGTGGATGAAAATCAGCGCGTGATGATGTAGAGCACACAAAATGTACTTTTTCGTTTTCTTGTACCGAATAAAAATCGAAAGTTCAATGTGTTTCCATCGCCTTTTCAACTCAACTGATAGTTTTGTCACAAAAAACGGTTGCGTTAAATAGCAAATGTGCCGACTTTGGTCTTACGTGCGCTCTAGCCAACATTTCACAGATACAATGCGGTTAGGCTGTGCGGGTAGGCTAGTCTACATGATGAGATTATTATGGATTATAGTGAGAATATTTGTATTTGTCAAATGGCAGTCAAGCATCAATCATCATGTCACCAGAATAAGACCCTTGATATTTATTGGAAATGAGCATCAAGCTCATCACCGTGTACTTTCACCACCCCTGTGAAGTTCATCACTTATTTAATCTGTAGACTAATAAACTGCATGGTTTCCCGAGTCGTAGTTGGAGGACCACACACCATATCATCGCGTGACTCCTAATTTACTTCGATGTGATGGTTATTATATCAATATTTGCGCATAAAGGTGTTTCCACCGCCATTTCTCGCATTATTAATTTGACCAACAACAAGATCCCACCATGTCGAACAAACTAATGATCTGTCTGCATTTATACAATGGTACAGAAACTTCCGGTTTCCATCACAGCTGTCCTGATTTTTTTTTTACGGTATGACTTTACTCGCATAAAAACTGCAGATGGAAACGTGGTTAGTAAGGTACTTAATTGTGAACCAGAAATTATTTGATGTTGAGATAAAAACAGCTGCATTGGAACTTTAATAGAAAATGACTCAAGTGAAAGTGACAATACAAATACAACTTGAGTAAAAGTCAAAAAGTATTTGGTTTTAAATATACTTAAGTATCAAAAGTAAATGCTATAAATCCTTTCAAATTCCTTATATTAAGCAATCCAGGTGGCATGATTTTCTTGTTTTTGTTTGTTTACGGATAGCCAGGGGCACACTTAAATGAAGCATTTGTGTTTAGTGAGTCCGTCAGATCAGAGGCAGTAGGGATGACCACATGTTCTCTTGATAAGTGCATGAATTGGATAACTTCCTGTCCCGCTAAGCATTTGAAATGAAAATAGTACTTTTGGGTATCAGGCAAAATGTATGGGAGTAAAAAGTTCATCTTCCTTTAGACATGTAGTGGAGTAAAAGTAAAAGCTGTCAAAAATAGAAATAGTAAAGTACAGATACCTCCCCCAAAATACTTGAGTAGTACTTCAAAGTATTTTTACTTAGTTACTTTACTCCACTGGAAATGCAGCTGGTGAATTAGTGGCTCAGATTTGTCAGATGTGTCATTAAGGTTGGTATTGCAAGCTTGAGGAAGTGGTGAAGGACTATTGTTTGTTGGGGCCCTGGTCAAAAGGCCCTGATCAAAAGTAGTGCACTACATAGGGAGCCATTTGGGATGCAACCGTTGGCTTTTTTTTTTTTTTTGTGTTGCAGAGGTAATATCGATCTTTCCTTCTCTCTCTAGGTGTCTACTTTGTAGTGTGCATGGCCCTGTTGGTGATCAGCCTGACAGAGACAGTGTTGATAGTGCGTCTGGTGCATAAGCAGGATCTGCAACCCCACGTGCCCCAGTGGCTCAAACACTTGGTGCTGGAGCGGGCCACAGTCCTCCTCTGCATCCGCAACAAGCACAGCTTGTGCTCAATGCTGTCCAGGGACTCCGACCACCTGGGCCACTACAAAGAGAACAACATCAGCCCAGGTAATGCATCTACAGGAGGGTTGGGTAGGAAGAAGGGTATGAAAGAAGGGTCAGGAAGGAAGGCGGGAAGGAGAAAGGAGGGGAGGGAGAGGGAAAAGGTGAGCTTTAAGGGAAAAGAAAGACATGGGCAGTAGTTCACGGTGAGCTGAAGGATCTGAGACACTATAGAATGTTCTCTCTCAGCAGTATTCATAAATGTAAAAGAAATAGAGCAGCATTACGACATCAAATCAAATCAAATCGTATTTGTCACATACACGTGTTTAGCAGATATAATTGCGGGTGTAGTGAAATGCTTGTGCTTCTAGCTCCGACAGTGCAGTAATATCTAACAAGTAATATCTAACAATTTCACAACATATACCCAATACACACAAATCTAGTAAGGAATGGAATTTAAGAATATATACAAATATGGACAAGCAATGACAGAGCGGCATGGACTAAGATACAGTAGAATATTATAGAATAGAATACAGTATATACATATGAGATGAGTAGTGCAAGATATGTAAACATTATTAAAGTGACTGGTGTTCCATTTCTTAAAGTGGCCAGTGATTTCAATAGGCAGCAGCAGCCTCTAATGTGCTAGTGATGGCTATTTAACAGTCTGATGGCCTTGAGATAGAAGCTGTTTTTCATTCTCTCGGTCCCAGCTTTGATGCACCTGTACTGACCTCGCCTTCTGGATGATAGCGGGGTGAACAGGCAGTGGCTCAGGTGGTTGATGTCCTTGATGATCTTTTTGGCCTTCCTGTGACATCGGGTGCTGTAGGTGTCTTGGAGGGTGGGTAGTTTGCCCCCGGTAATGCGTTCGGCAGACCGCACCACCCTCTGTAGAGCCCTGCGGTTGCGGGCGGTGCAGTTGCCGTACCAGGTGGTGATACAGCCCGACAGTGCATTTGTAAAAGTTTGTGAGGGTTTTAGGTGCCAAGCCAAATTTCTTCAGCCTCCTGAGGTTGAAGAGGCTCTGTTGCGCCTTCTTCACCACACTGTCTGCGTGGGTGGACCATTTCAGTTTGTCAGTGATGTGTACGCCAAGGAACTTGAAGCTTTCCGCCTTCTCCACTGCGGTCCTGTCAATGTGGATAGGGGATGCACCCTCTGCTGTTTCCTGAAGTCCACGATCATCTCCTTTGTTTTGTTGATGTTGAGTGAGAGGTTATTTTCCTGGCACCACACTCCCAGAGCCCTCACCTCCTCCCTGTAGGCGGTCTCGTCATTGTTGGTAATCAAGCCTACTACTGTTGTGTCGTCTGCAAACTTGATGATTGAGTTGGAGGCGTGCTTGGCCACTCAGTCATGGGTGAACAGGGAGTGCAGGAGGGGGCTGAGCACACACCCTTGTGGGGCCCCAGTGTAGAGGATCAGCGAAGTGGAGATGTTGTTTCCTACCTTCATCACCTGGGGGCGGCCTGTCAGGAAGTCCAGGACCCAGTTGCACAGGGCGGGGTTCAGACCCAGGGCCTCGAGCTTAATGATGAGCTTGGAGGGTACTATGGTGTTGAATGCTGAGCTATAGTCAATGAACAGCATTCTTACATAGGTATTCCTCTTGTCCAGATGGGATAGGGCAGTGTGCAGTGTGATGGCAATTGCATCGTCTGTGGATCTATTGGGGTGGTAAGCAAATTGAAGTGGGTCTAGGGTGACAGGTAAGGTAGAGGTGATATGATCCTTGACTAGTCTCTCAAAGCACTTCATGATGACAGAGGTGAGTGCTACGGGGCGATAGTCATTTAGTTCAGTTACCTTTGCTTTCTTGGGTACAGGAACAATGGTGGCCATCTTGAAGCATGTGGGAACAGCAGACTGGGAAAGGGGAAGATTGAATATGTCCGTAAATACACCAGCCAGCTGGTCTGCGCATGCTCTGAGGACGCGGCTAGGGATGCCGTCTGTGCCGGCAGCCTTGCGGGGGTTAACATGCTTAAATGTCTTACTCACGTCGGCCACGGAGAAGGCCACAGTCCTTGGTAGTGGGCCTCGTCGGTGGCACTGTGTTATCCTCAAAGCGGGCAAAGAAGGTGTATAGCTTGTCTGGAAGCGAGACATCGGTGTCGGCGACAGGCTGGTTTTCCTTTTGTAGTCTGTGATTGTCTGTAGACCCTGCCACATACGTCTCATGTCTGAGCCGTTGAATTGCGACTCCACTTTGTCTCTATACTGATGTTTTGCCAGTTTAATTGCGTTGCGGAGTGAGTAGCTACACTGTTTGTATTCTTCCATATTCCCAGTCACCTTGCCATGGTTAAATGCAGTGGTTCGCGCTTTCAATTTTGGAAACGTGGTTAGTAAGGTATCCACGGTTTCTGGTTAGGGTAGGTTTTAATAGTCACAGTGGGCACAACATCTCCTACACACTTCCTGATAAACTCAGTCACCGTTTCAATGTATTAGTCTAAATTATTTTCGCAAGCTATCATATCCCAGTCCGCGTGATCAAAACAGTCTTAAAGTGTGGATTCCGATTGGTCAGACCAGCGTTGAATAGTCCTTAGCACGGGTACTTCTTGTTTGAGTTTCTGCCTATAGGAAGGGAGGAGCAAAATGGAGTCATGGTCAGATTTGCCGAAAGGAGGGCGGGGGAGGGCCTTATAACCATCCCGGAAGTTCGAATAGCAATGGTCGAGGATTTTAGCAGCGCGAGTACAACAGTCGATATGTTGATAGAAGTTCGGCAGCCTAGTCCTCAAATTTGCTTTGTTAAAATCCCCGGCTACAATAAATGCAGCCTCAGGTATCTATCATAGAGTGAGAGAGAGAGAAAAGGATAAAAAGTTACATTTACAGGTTTGTTTTCCCACTTTGGAAATAATCAATATACGTTACAATGTCTGTCTGTCTTTTTGGGCAAATAAATACACTTAGCTTCTACAAGCTCAACACAACATTGGATACTCAAAATAGAAATAAATCATGTTATATGACCCCACTCCCCCAACTCTCATGTTATGTGACCCCTTGCAGCTCGATGCAGCCACCACCACCACCTTCACCACACCGGGGACAGCATGGAGCGGGGTCTGGGTGGCCTGTCTGTGGTGCGTGACAACACGCCGCCCGTCATGGACAACATCTTGCATGAGATCTCGTCTATCCGCGGCTTCCTGGAGAAGAGGGACGAGTCCCGGGACATCGCCAAGGAGTGGCTGCAGGTGGGCTACGTGCTGGATGTGCTGCTCTTCAGGGTCTACCTGGTGGCCATGCTGGCCTACAGCATCACCCTGGGGACCCTCTGGTCCGTGTGGCAGTATGCCTGAGGGCCTCACAGTGGAGGAGGGCCTGACGGTGGAGGTGGAGGGCCTTACTATGGAGAAGGGGACATAGAGGGCTAAAGTGTGCCTGATACAAAGAGTTTTATTGAGGTAGATCTGTTCAGTTGAGCCTCATGGTGGAGGTAAAGTAGGGGGTAGTTTGAGTCTGAGGTAATTATTGGGAGTAGAGAAACGAGGGGGAAGATAGATTGGATGATGGTATAGTTTACACTAATTTCTCTTAGCCAGTTGCCCCTTTCTAACACTGTCTATTTTACTGCTCTCAGTGTATTGTTGGGGTCTTGATTACCTAGGAAAGGCCTAAATAACTAAACAACTGTTGAAAAAGTTCAGATATTGAATCCTTTGTCAGCGTACAGGTGTATTTTTATTTGTTTATTTGGATCCCCATTAGTTTTTGCAGACACAGCTACTCTTCCTGGGGTCCACAAAAAACACAAAACATGACAAGTAACAAAACACTGATACGCTGATAGACAAGGACAGTCACACATTTTTAAATACAATGATATACAGTACCAGTCAAAAGTTTGGACACACCCACTCATTCAAGGGTTTTTCTTTATTTTTACAATTTTCTATATTGTAGAATAATAGTGTAGACATACAAAATATGAAATAACACATATGTAATCATGTAGTAAACATTTTTTTTAAACAAATCAAAATATATTTTATATTTGAGATTCTTCAAATAGCCTAAATGACAGATTTGCACACTCTTGGCATTCTCTCAACCAGCTTCACCTGGAATGCTTTTCCAACAGTCTTGAAGGAGTTCCCACATATGCTTAGCTCTTGTTGGCTGCTTTTCCTTCACTCTGCCGTCAGACTCATCCCAAACCATCTCAATTTGGTTGAGGTCGGGGGATTGTGGAGGCCAGGTCATCTGATGCAGCACTCATCACTCTCCTTCTTGGTAAAATAGCCATTACACAGCCTGGAGGTGTGTTGGGTCATTGTCCGGTTGACAAACAAATGATAGTCCCACTAAGCCCAAACCAAACCCCCACACCATAACACGTCTTCCTCCATGCTTTACGGTGGGAAATACACATGCGGAGATCATCCGTTCATCCACACCGCGTCTCACAAAGACACAGCGGTTGGAACCAAAAATCTCCAATTTGGACTCCAGATCAAAGGACTAATTTCCACCGGTCTAATGTCCATTGCTCGTGTTTCTTGGCCCAAGCAGGTCTCTTCTTCTTATTGGTGTCCTTTAGTAGTGGTTTCTTTGCAGCAATTCGACCATGAAGGCCTGATTCACACAGTCCCCTATGAACAGTTGATATTGAGATGTGTCTGTGACTTGAACTCTGTGATGCATTTATTTGGGCTGCAATTTCTGAGGCTGGTAACTCTAATGAACTTATCCTCTGCAGCAGAGGTAACTCTGGGTCTTCCTTTCCTGTGGTGGTCCTCATGAGAGCCAGCTTCATCATAGCGCTTTTTTATTTTATTTCACCTTTATTTAACCAGGTAAGCCAGTTGAGAACAGGTTCTCATTTACAACTGCGACCTGGCCAAGATAAAGCAAAGCAGTGCAATAAAAACAACACAGTTACATATGGGGTAAAAAAACATAAAGTCAAAAATACAACAGAAAATATATATACAGTGTGTGCAAATGTAGCAAGTTATGGAGGTAAGGCAATAAATAGGCTATAGTGCAAAATAATTACAATAGTATTAACACTGGAATGCTAGATGTGCAAGAAATTATGTGCTTGATGGTTTTTGTGACTTCACTTCAAGAAACTTTCAAAGTTCTTGAAATGTTCCGTATTGACTGACCTTCATGTCTTAAAGTAATGATGGACTGTCGTTTTTCTTTGCTTATTTGAGCTGTTCTTGCCATAATATGGACTTGGTCTTTTACCAAATAGGGCTATCCCCCTACCTTGTCACAACACAACTGATTGGCTCAAACGCATTAAGAAGGAAATAAATTACACAAATTAACTTTTAAGAAGGCACACCTGTTAATTGAAATGCATTCCAGGTGACTACCTCATGAAGCTGGTTGAGAGAATGCCAAGAGTGGGCAAAGCTGTCATCAAGGCAAAGGGTGGCTATTTGAAGAATCTCAAATATAAAATATGTTTTGATTTGTTTAACACTTTTTTGGTAACTACATGATTCCATATGTGTTATTTCATAGTTTTGATGTCTTCACTATTATTCTACAATGTAAAAAATAGTAAAAATAAAGAAAAACCCTTGAATGAGTAGGTGTGTCCAAACTTTTGACTGGTAGTGTACAAACAATACAACCAAAAAATAATGTGTGCTATTTTATATGGCACAATACTTCATGCATTATTCCCTTTTTCTCAAAATCGTCTACTATGTGTACCAACAGCTGTATTGATGTAAAGGAAACCATATCATTATAATAGCCGACATGGTACCATGCCCCTAAAATGAATAAATATGCCATGCCTTAGATTTTGTATGTGCAATAATGTGTAATATAGTTGGTGAGCAATGAGCTCTAAGAAGATTTCACATTTTTTGTTATATCTCTTCATGTTTTATTTAGTTATGGAGGAGAGGTAGTGCAATTTGCTTGCATTTGCTTTTAAATGGCATAGTCTGTATATTCCAAGATCAACTTCATTCCTTCAGTTAAATCGTTAAAAAAAATATTTAAAAAATACGAACCATATAACATGCTGTTGATCACGTTTAAATTAATAAAGATATTTACTATTGCTAACGTCACTGCGATACTCGTTCACCTGATGTTCACTCTGACATTATGAAATGTGTGACTATTAAAGTGAATTGAATTATGTCCCTTATATGCATTCAATCAGGTATCCCGATATAATGATGAAAGCCGGCATTCAATCCAATTGTGCTTGTAGACCAAGCAGCTTTTAAAGGCAATGTTACCACGTTCGCTGCCTTGCGGAGATTGCGTTCAAGGAAAACGCTGCAGATGTCGGCTCAATTGGAAATTACCTTAAAATGTCAAGCGTGTTATAGCGCGGTTTTGGATTGAATCCTGGCCACAGTTTGTTGTTTTTAGCTTTTCCGTTGAAGGTCTGAAATTCCTTAATACGGCCAATGTCCACATTTAAATGATGGCAGGTGAAAATAAAGCAATTTTCCGCTTTATGTGGACATTGTCGGTTAGGGTTTAAGCCATAGAAGTGACTACAATACACCACACTAACCACAGGGTGGCACAGTGGTTCTCTGCCCAGCACTAACCACCCCCATGCTCTAGTCCAGAGGTGGCATGGGTATTATTAATCCCTCCCAGGGATGGCCCTAGCCCGCGGACTGACACTAATGTACTAATCGTAAAGATTTTGTCCTCACTGGAAAATGCACTTGGCGGGTGTGCCCTGATAGGATAAACGCCATTGACACCCTACATAATTAAAGCCTAAAACCGTTCTACAGTTAATGGGAGCATCGATCCCAATACAATCAATGAGGATCCAGGCTGCAGCAGGCACTCTCTGTGCTTGTCACTCAATAGACAGTTAAAGATGTACTCATAAAATGGGTTAGGGTTACAGTTGACTGTTTTATTCCCCCTGGGTGTCGATTTTTAGCTATAATAAAAGTGTATCAGTGTGAAGCTTGGATAAGAACATCTCTGACATTTCTGATATGTATAAATGGTGTTTTAATGACTCCTGCTATCACTGTTCTTTATTCTGCAATTCTAAAACAAATGACAGTAAACCTTCCGAAATGGTAATGTGAAACAACACAGCAATTCTTATCAATGAGAATTTCCATAAATAACGTTCAATAGTTTGTCTATTTTTGGAAAAATTATTACGTTAAAACCAGACATCTGACCAGGGCTGCAAAATTCTGGTAACATTACATTTTACACAAATCCTGTTTGGAGGATTCCGGATTTCCTGATTATTACCTCCTGATTCTGGGTATCTTCCAACCGGGATTTCTGTAAAACCTTTAAAAAAAAAAGAAAGTTAAACAAATGTTTTAGCCCTACATCAGACTGTAGCCTACCATCTATACTATTATACTGTAGTACACCAAACCAACACTAGATGGACCTATTAACAGCATTAACCAGTACTACCCCTGTGGAGCTGCATGAACACACATTGGGGGTCAAGTCATTTTTACACCAGTGTTACTAAAACGATGCAACAGGTAAGTTAGTTCATAAGACATCTCCAAATTGCAATGAAGCTATGGACCTCTCTTTCTGTTATCATCTCCATAAAGAAGAACATCTTCTTTAAATAAACTACAAACAAATAATCCTGAGATGATGCCAAAACGACAATTATTAAAATTGAGGCCTCACCATTTTTTGTCATGCATTATAACTTCATTCTGTGGCCATTGAACAGAACAGTTTGTTTAATCAGTAAACTTAAAATCAGTAACCTCAGTAAACCTTTTTAATCCTCATCCAACACATTCACCAACCACAAAAGTTCAGTGACTACAAAAAGCATACAAAAGTAGATCTACCACAACAGCAACAACATGAATGACACAGAACAGTTCAGTTCCGTGTTGCTCAGGTCGCTTGCTGTATTACAGTAAATTTACAGCGGCGGTCATGTTGTTTGGCTCTCTCCTCTCTGAGGCTGGATCAATGCCTGGGGTAGGGGGGAGGCTAACGTCTACAGGCCAGGCTTAGCTGAGAAAACAATCCCAGGGATTTGGACAAGACTGGTCCCCCTCCATTCAACAGGCCTACTGTCTGAACCCTTCTCTATCCATTCGATCATATCGGTGTCAAAGAGCACATAAAGATGGGACCCCCTGGCCCCACACACACACAAAGCCCTACGCCCTCCCGGGGTCACATGGGCCCAATCAACCAACGTCCAAAATCCCCACTCTGTTTCTAATACAAAATTGGGATCAAACCAAACTCATGGAGTCCAGTTCATGAAGGAACATAATGAGCAACAGCTGATCGTTTCCCACTTTGTCCTCCTTTCCCTAAATCGCCAAAGACCCTTAAAACGACCAAGATAGTC